GTGAGTGTGGATATAAGTGGATGTGATTGGTAGTGGGTAATCTTCTTATCCACCCACACCCTTTCATAAAAGGACAAAATGTGACTTATGAGATGTTTTATTTATTAAATACAGACTTTTGACTTACACATGGATTAGTGAAAACAATGATTAATTAATATCGATATGAAGAAGCTTGAATAGAGAAGCATAAGCAATAATAATCACTAAAGTAATGAATCAATAATAAAAACAAACACGTCATGCAAGAATATTAGAATAAAATGTCAAGCAAAATGAGAGAATATATAGACTATGTAATGAAATATATCTTCATTTAATCGTAAAACTGAAGAACTGAATTATAATTAATACAGCTTTACTTCAGAATACTGAACACTGTCTGCTATTCCACGTTTATGAGACACAAGAAATCGATAACTCTTATATTGAATTGTATTGTTGAAAAATTGTATTGGCCCACAACTCTTTCGACCAGGATCTGTGTGGAGTCCACTTGCACCATTGTATATCAGAGTCCAACTAGTACCATGAGTAAGATTGTCTCTGGACAGATTACTTCCTTCTAAAGACACAACAAATGGATCATATTCTGAAGGGAAATCAGCAGTGCACACTCGTAATCCAGTAACTAACGTTAGACCACGTTGTAATTCGAGATAGAAACCAGTATTCAAACCACAGTTCGTGGCAAGAACTTCTTGAAAACAGGATCCAAAATTTCGATATTTTGTTGATATATCACCATCGCATGCTCGATACGCCTCTGCTCCCTGTTGAATGCCCGAAGAGAAAGGTGGGCTGCCTAAATAGCTAGGGCCACCGATGTTTGTAGAGTATATACCTTCAATCGACCCATTAACAGCGGTCAGTAATATTGGAACTACAAAAACATTTGAAAATAAAACAGTAGAAAACGTCCACTAAGTTTATCTGTTTTTCAATTGACGTTTCATTAATATAATTCAAAAAGTTTTTCAAAATAAATTCTTCTAAAAAGTAAATTCTTTTGTGAACTCTGTAAGCAAACAAATCCTGCCTCCACCATTTAGCTGATCGTTTCGATCGTTTTTTGCGATGATCAGAGCTTTCTATGATAAACTTGTCTCAATTCTAAACAAGATATCTCTATACAGAATATAAAATAATGCAGAAAAGGAGAGCATATAATTCGCTCGGAGGCATTGATATAGTAATCTATTCAGAATTTATCTATTACAAGAGCAGTCATTCTATTCCGGAAAGTTATATACATTCCGGAATCGCTTGACCCACCCAACTTAACATCATTCAATTCCGGAATTCATGCATTTCCCGGAATCCCTGCGCTTTCCGGAATTGCTTGGTCTGTTGATATTTATGTAAGGCTTAACATGAAGATGAATATGCGATTCCGTTTGGCAATTCCGGAATTGCATAAACAAGCAATGACCAGGAATTCCGGGTCATTCCTGCCAATTCCGGAATTGCTTGGTCTATTGATATTTATGTAAGGCCTAACATGAAAGCAAGCACAATAGTGTGGGTGTGTGGGAGGCTTGGTCGGTAGGCATAAATGCTGCCCATTCCAGAATACCCATAAATAAACAAGAATTCCTACCCATTCCTAGCGGTTTCGGGTGTGCACAAATTCCGCTACGGAATCGAATCAATCAGTCAGCACGATCTTTTTGTCATGAAACATACTTTTTCAATTCCAGAAAGCGCAGGAATTCCGAGAAATACACGAATTCCGGAATTCCGCAGTGTTGGCTATGTCACGGCTTACATGGATATCAATTGATGAAAGGATTCCGGTATTGGTAGGAATCGAATGCAAGGAATTCTTGAATTGAATGATGTTAAGTTGGGTGGGTCGAGCGATTTCGGAATGTGTAACTTTTGGAAATAGGAACCATTCTCTATCGTAATAAAATTTGTTGCATGTATGAAACAAAACTGAATAATAAAAACGGATTGTCCGAGGTAAATTGATCTGTCATATATTACACTTATCTATTTATAGTTGTAAAATGATGCTTTGCCACACCGTGACAGTTTGAGAAAGTATTTCATTCGAGATAATCAAACAAATAAAGTTTCTGCACTGTACATTTACTAAAAGATGCAGAATATCTGTCAAGAATATATTGAACATTCTCATGTAGCAGACTAAGTACATAGAATATTATCTACTCTTTCGTTCGTTCTCAAGGATTCTCTCAGATGAGGATAAATACGGTTACAAACAAGTTATAGACTATACACAATATGACGACTTTTAGTTTTGTTAACGGATACTATTCAATTATAATTACCTAACTAAGCAAGTAACGCTCGTATGTGGACTCACTCAGCTTGTTCTCGTAGAAGTCATATTTCTGAAATTTTAGCAAAATATTTATTTATACAATTTAGATAAATTAACCTCCAATTTAAGTTCCCTATTCTCAAATGCCTTTTGGTCAATGCTCATAGAAAGATTTCAAAAAGCTAACTTCAAATTCGAATTCTGCACTCTCGATTGCTCTTCAATATCAGATGAATTTTTGACAAATCAGTCAAGTGCGGACACAGAAACAAACAATTTCTATTTGCTAGACTCTTCTCTATGAAAAAGAGAAAAGACAATTCATGGATTTTAATTAATATTGATTAATTATTGAATAGTATGAATTGATATTAAAGGTTATAACAGATACCAAACGCGTTGTTTTTTATCGACTGTGAAAGACACAATAATTAAACATAAACAAGATGAAAGGACTCAGTTCATGTTTCAGACTTAAATCTCACAGAGATTGCATTAACCGTTTCTTTAATCGAAACTATACCTGGTTCTGTTATTATCGCGGTTGCAGCTGTTGTTGATGAAAATGGCATAATTTTTACGTTCTCCTTTTCTTTGATAGTGAATAAATATGTAATTCCTGCTATAAACAATATGGCAGCTATGATTAATACAATAATCCAGATATATTTTTCCTTCCGATTAGGAGGATTTCTAGTATAAAAAATATTTCTTTATTAAATGATATTGTTACAATAGTCATACTCTGTGTTCAACTGCACAGTTGTTGTTTGTATTCTCGGATGAAGCATAATTGATTGAGGCTGAAATAATAAAAGCAGACAAGACTAGTTCATCTGGCACATAACATTAAGATCCTTTACTTTGTTACGGTTTGGCATTAATCCTTTTTTATGTTTAGATACTTTAAATATATGGTATAGAATCTATAATAAAGGAAAATTAAGCTATACCCAGGTAGACCAATCCGATTGGATCCGACACGGAACAGTGTGGGTGCGGATGAGCGTGTGAGCAGTATAAAAGACATTCACACCCACCCTTCTGTTTTTGACGGAAACTGGCAAGGAAATATAGATGAAGAAAATAGTGGAAGTGTCTAGTTTACTTAAAGACTACTATATATAGTCACTCATGCCACACGATAACAGAATATATTTATCTTTCTACTACTTTTCTCCCCTATATATGATGAATATGTTTAGAAATTCGCTGTGAGAGAGTATGCTCTCCCTATCAACTGTGCAATGTTAATCTGAATTTACTCTAAACTAGAGCTTAAATCTAGTTAATTTGCGCTTTCTGAGCTGGCATGAAATTGTCATACTCCTAGTTCAGTCATAGATTGGAATTTGTTTTACGGTAGTGTTCAAATTTCGTGAATCCTAAACTCCTGAAGAATTTTCAACTCAAACATTAAAGTAAAGTAAACGCACATGAAACATTCTGAGTCGACCTGGAAGTAGAAAGAATAATTCAAGAATACTAAGCAACCCACAGAACTCGAAGATTCCAAGAATACTAAAGATCTGAAGGATATTAACATTATCAAGAAACCAAAAGGTATCAAGGGGTGCAGGAAACTCTCGGAATCAAAGGGACTTGTATAGATCTAGAAGATTTCAATAAATGTCAGGAATACGAGAAGCTCGAAGATATCAAAGACCTTCACAAACACGAAAAAGTATCAGACTAGAGGGCCTTAACAATACACAGAAGCCACCAAATACTTTTCAAATCTGATCACGTCTGTGGAGTTTCCACCACGAAATATTCAACTATCTTCCAATCATTCGAAACATCTCCTACGTTGTAGAGCTAGGGCGAGAGTGTAGGGTTTGTTTTTGGATGTCATTCTTTTTTACCCTCATCTACATGCATCCTCAAATTTCTTATATCGAACTAGCGTTATGCCTCATATATTTCAGTTACCGACATGTGCAGAAGTAGAATTATATTGACAAAAGAAAAACTTACTCGTCCGCCATATATAATGAAAATACTGTAGAGATAGCAATTTTTGCCATTTTTACATCAAGTTTAGCTGCTGGAAAGTTTTTTAAAAAACATACCGCAGTGTTTTTGCTGTTTCTCATCAGTAAGATTGTCTATAAACATGAAACTTTGCTAGTATGCAGTACTAGTTACCCATAATAATCGATAAAAGTTTCAAGAAGATTTGCTCTCGATAAGGGTGTGGGTGCCGGTGGTTGCACTTTGGGATGAGTGGAAGGAGAATGCTGTCACCCACACTCATTCTTCCCTGACAAGTTTCGAAACTTTATTTGAGGTCTGCTGGATTTATATGGTATTCAAGAGAATCCTATGGAATCATAAGGAATCTTTTGGAATCCTATAAAAATCTTAAGAATCTCTGGAATCCGAAAGAATCATACAAAATCTATCACTCTAAGATTCCGCTCTTTTTGTCTTGCACAAATCACAGATCGCTTTTTACTGATTGGAAAAATGTGTGTTTTCATGAAGGAAAATTAAACATATCTGAAGAGTTAGGACTATTTATTAGGAACATCATAGTCAGACCTTTCAAGACATTTTTATCTTTCGTTCAGTTCTGAGAATCTTAGAAATCCCATTTTTATTTATAGTGGCCCTCACCAGTCAAGTACGTGGTCATGTCCACCGAAAACTATTTTGTCTACTCCAGAATTGCAAGCTCTCTACGATTCTAAAGATTTTATTCCGAGAAAAATAGTCTCAGAGAAAAAGGGCTGAATTCGAGATTGAAATTGGCTCATTATTGAATGCATATATCTTCATTCTCATAACTTTCTATAAAGAGAGCCTTGCCGCAACAAGCAGTTCTGACTATAAGCGTGATTTTTTAAACTCCTGTCACCGGCTAGGGTAGGTTCGAGTGAGAAGGTTATGTATTTACCTTCACAAACACGCTACACACCCTTCTAGTCAAGTCTCTTGAGTGTTTTTTTATCATACATGAAAACAACTTTTGTCTGCAAATATATTTGCAAGTTCAATATTTGAAACAACGGTGTGAGTATGGATATTGGTTTGAGGAAAGAGTTTGATTTTGTGACTTGAGCACCAGTTAGGGAAACAAGTGGGCCTCTAGGTATCGCTGTGGCTTAAGCATCCAAACTTTCAATATCTAACTTAAATACAAATCTAAGCCTAAATCCAAACTTATACTCAATACTCAAATGCAGAAAAATCAGAAGAATTTGGGTTGTGTTTATGTCTAGTCTCGATATCTGATTAAACTTATGCCCGAAATCCAAACTGAACACTCAAAACCAAACATCAACCGCCAAAAGGTCTGAGTTTAGGATTGGTGCATGGCTACTAGAGCCACTAAAATGATTATTAGTTATGAAGAAAAACTCATGAGCTGCTGTACTTTTCGATTTTCTTTAGTCCCTCTGGATTCTATATGTAGGCAAAATACCAGCTCAAAAGTTCTGAATTACTTTAAACAGTTTCCTCGTTAGCAGAACAAAGTTTTCCAGGAAAACTAAATACTTCTATTTATATCAGGTTTCACTTCGTTCATGAAGAAAAGCAGAATATTAGACAGGCATGACTTTTATGCAATCATAAAACTATATTTTACATCTACTCTATTTCCGAATATCTATTGCGTTTTTCTTTTCTCCTAAAATAAAAAGACATGACTTCTATACGATCATAAAACTACGTTTCACATCTGTTCTCTTTCCGAATATCTATTGCGTTTTTATTTTATCCTAAAATAAAAAGACATGACTTTTATATGATCATAAAACTTCGTTCCACATCTGTTCTATTTCCGAATATCTATTGCTTTTCTCTTTTCTTCTAAAATAAAAAGACATGACTTTTATGCGATCATAAAACTGCGTTTCACATCTGTTCTATTTCCGAATATCTATTCCGTCTTTCTTCTCTCTTAAAATAATTATAATTAAAATACATAGAAATAATGAAGATGCAACACGATTAGGGAAGATACTGAAAACAGAATTTTGTTTTTGGTGTTTTTATTGAAATATTCGTCTCAAGATAAAGAAAATATCTAACATGTTTAATAGCGTAAATAGTGTCACAAAATCGGGATATTAAAATGATCGAATACTTGTAAAAATTGTCTGTTATTTCTAAAGAACAATTCAATAATAAATTAGCTATTTATGAATTAGTTAGAAATTATATGGCTCGCTAGACGGTGATGATCTGCAAACGATAAATGGCTGTAAGCTCACTCGAAACCAATACTATTCGTCTAATTACACAAAGCCACATAACAAGGCATATTTTGACAATTTGTCATCGTCTCTTCCATATAGACGGATAATGGCAAAGTATAAATTTCAATAGGTTGAGAAATACATTTTTTCATAGAAACTTATTCGAATGCCATCTAAATGCGACTAGTGTGAAGTAATATTATAAGCATATATAGTATTTATTTTCAAAAAAAAAAACCCAAACAAATAGACGTAAGCTTTGACAATAAAAAAAAAGATATTAAGAATGTTTGTTAGATAAAATACGAAGTCGTTGAATACTCGATAAAATTTGTTTAAATTCTTTTTTATAAATTGGTGATGGTAAAACAAAAACAATAAATATACATATTGATGGTAGAAATGAGATAAAATAAGCTGCTAAATAGAAATAAAAATGATAAGTAGATTTTTTACAATTTAAAGTAAATGAAATAATTAAACGTGGTAAACATAATATCAGAAGAATACAAGGACTTATTAATAAATGTTTATGTTGTTTTAATTTATTTTTAAATGAATGTGTAAATTGATTATTATTTTGTACAAGAACTTTTTGTTGAGCTGTTGTTATTATAATAAATAATGCTGAGAATAAATTTAATAAAAATGGTGAAAAAAAATGAAAAAATAATATAAATGAATTATAATCATTTAATAATTTTGAATAAAAAATCACACACCAACTACGTTCTTCTTTTTTATCATAAAATAATTGTAAATTTATTATAAATGGTATAAGAAGAAGAATATTTAATAAAATAATCCACATAATTATCCATTTAGCAATATATTTACTTTGTTTCTTTTGAAATGAAATTCCTTTAAATACAGCAAATGCTCTTTCACAAGCAACACAAGCATTTAACCAATTATCGATATTTAATAAAAGTTTTAATAATGGTTCAATAATAATACAATTTAGAAAACGAATTCTTTTTTCATAAGAATAAATAAGAAACCAAAATTTAAAATTAAATAAAATAATAACAAATAATGATATTATTGATGATGTCAGAAGATAAATTCCACAGCCAACTTCTTGACAAGTATTTCTTTTAAATATTAATATTGAAAAAATACTATTAAATAATCCAGCTAGAAATATAATAATTGTTATTAATGCACTTAATTGAATTGTTAATGTTTGTTGAAAGAAATTTTTATTTGATTTTATTTCATATGTTAAAATTTCATCTAATGTTAAACCTAAACCTTTGGAATAAAATTGACATTGATTACCATAAAAACAATTTGAACAAACACATATTATTGTTGATGGACATGTTGGATGATCTTGTAAACAATGTCCATCATTTAAACATTTTAATTTTGATGAACATGAATAAAGGTTTTTATTAAAATTAAATTGAAAACAATTTGCATGATGATCTTTTGTACATAAACAAAGATAATATTCATCAATAAAACAATTTAAATTTCGATTTAATTCACATAAAATATGATAATATTTCATTCGTTGAAAATGTGATAAATTCATTAATGTTGAATTAAATAATAATTCAATTGGATAACATTCACGTGATGGATTTACTTTTGTTTTAATATACATATTTGGCGTTGATTGTATAACTGCAAAATAATATTTTTCATTTGATTTTATAATAACAATATGATATGGAATTGATATATAAAATGTTATTACATGTTGAAAAAGTGTTAATTTTTGTATCATTATTGTTAATGTTGGTTCAGATTGATTTGATAGTGTGAAGAAAAAAGCGATTAAATAATATGGAATCTGAAAATTTTCTAAATAAATATCAAGTTGTGCTTTTTTATATTCACATTTTGGACCATAGTATTGTGTAGAACAAATACATGATGAATTTTTATTTATTAAATTTGAAGAAATACATTGACCATGATTTTGACATGCATTTTTTCGACAGGAAGAATTTATTAAACATCGAGGTCCGATTTTATTTAAAGGACATAAACATATCGAACGATTATTTATTATTCCAATACATAAAGAATTTAATGAACAATATTGACAATTTATTTTAATATTACATTTATAACCTGACCAACCAGGTAAACATTGACAGAAAAATTCTTCTTCATTATTTAGATATTTAATGCAATGACCATGTTGACATTTGATTGGACAATTTGATAAAACTGATGATGACTCCGACGGAATAAATAATAAAGCAGATATTCGATTAACAGGTAAGAAAAGAAATGGTATTGATACAAACCAACTTGCACGATATGTTAAATCATGTTTTTCATATATATCAATATGTATAGAATAATTAGTTGAAAGATTTTTTGGTCTTTGTGAATATAATAAATAAATATTATATTTTATTTCACAACTTTGACTTGGAATATATTCTAATTGTTCATAGGATTGAATTTCTTTTGATTTATTATTAATTAATATAATAAGAATAATATAAACATCATCTCGTGAAGATTGAACTAAACCTAATGTAAAACTAACTCTTTCATTTTGATATTGACATACATTTCCATAATAACTTGGAGGACACATACATCGATATTCATTTGTAGATCTTATACGAACAATAAGTCCACGATTACAAGACCATGCGGATAAAGAAGAATTTTTTTCTAAATTATCAATATTTTCAATTAAATTTTGTTCATTATGCCATTCAATTGTATCATTTGTTTCTACTTGAGGATAATTTAAGGTTGTATAAATTGAAAAATATTTAATTTTATTTGTTTCTAATTGATTTAAATGACAAAAAATCTTTTCAATCAATGAATAATTAAACGATGAATTATGTTGACATAAAAATTGTTGATTTTGACAAAAAATTTCATCATCACCCTGTGGACATGATTGTATATTATTACAAAGATCAAATATCGATAAACACACATCACTATTTTGACAACGAAAACGTTTTGGATTCTTTTCTGATGGATAAACACGTCGACAAAAATCCATTTCATCCATGGACCCAAGACAATCAATAATTCCATCATTAACTTTAGTTGATTCTAAACAAATTAATGAATAATTAAATAATGCTAAACATGAAAATGTTTGTTTTGGACAATGTGTTTGAAAACAATTGTCTTCATCTTCACCATTTCTACATGTCCAATAACCGTCACATCGAGTATAAAGATTTTTACATGGCCAATAATTACATTGTGATTCATCTGTATAGATTTGTTGAGTTTTTAAATCTTGAAAAATCAATTCACCTAAACCATCACAAATATTTTGAAATAAAATTTTTTTTTCAAAATTTTTTTCATTTAATAAACAATCATCTTGTGTATGTAATGATGATAAACATTTATTTTCATTAAAACATTTTATTCGATATTTATTATTAATTGAACAACTATATTCATTCTTATTATCTTCATCATCACCCATACAACAATCAAGATTTTCATCAATAATACGATCTTTTGAAATTAATTTTGATGAATTTTTACATTGATATAATGATGTGGAATTTTTATTATTTAAAAATTCTTTTGAGTTTAAACATGAACGAAAATGTGAATCAATTATTAATATAATATCAATCCAAATATTTCCACTAATACTTGAAAAGAAATCGAATTTTGTACTTTTTAAACAAGTTAAATTATTATAAATTAGATCAGGAATAAAACAATCACATAATTCATCATCATAACATATATAATCAGGTATTATTAAATAATTTTCATTGGTTTTTAAATTTATATTTTCATATAAAAATCTAATATGACCAAAATGAACAGGATTTAATGGAAATTGAAATATTTTTTCACAATATTTTAAATATTCATTTATATTTTCAATTATTTCATCACATAATATTCCATAGATATCTTGAGTAAGCTTTGTTAAACAGATCATACCCATAAAACATTTCTTTGATAGATTTTTTTCAATCGATATTGATTGAATTAATAATAAATGTCTTCCATTATGGCATTGATCATATTTTTGTACACATTGCCCATCTCCACACGGATATTGATGCCAATTTGTTCGACATGAATGTTCTTCACAACGAAATGTTGATTGTTGAAAACAATTATTTTGATATGAAAGATCAGCATATTCATCGGATCGATCAAGACAAAAAGCATAATTTGGATTATTTTCTTTAATAAATTCTTGTGGAATACATAAACCGTTATGACAACGATATTCATTTAATTCACATTGATTTATTTCCATATGAAAACAATATAATTCATCAAAATAATTATCAATACAATCAATATATCCATTACAGATTTCACGCCAATCAATACATAATAATAAACCATTGGAATAACATTTTAAATGAATATAACATGGAAGTTCATTTATATCTCGAGTTAAATCTTTATACGAAGATTTTTTTTGAAATTGTTTTAAAATAATATTATTTAATGACATTTGTTCAGTAAATTCAAATGAATATTGACATTGTAAACCAAACCATGGTTGAGTACAATTAGAAATTATTTTGTTGGATAAATTTTTATTATTTAAATACAGTTCATAAGTTTCAATTAAATCAATTGGATATGACCAAGAAAGAAGATCAAATGAACTGATATTTTTTAGATAGAATTGTTCAAATGTTAATTTTTCATTATTTATAAAGAATAATTCTTTGGTTTGATTTAATGGTCGAAAACAATATGGAATATAATCAATAATTACATTTGATAAATCTTGATAAGAATATTTTTTATCAATTATATAATTATATAAACAATCATAATATAAAACATTATCATGAACAGTTTTATCTATTTCATAAAGATTTAATTGACAATTTATCATTAAGAAATAATTAAAGATTAATACCAATATAATTATCTTCTTCATTTTATTTCCAATAGAATTTAATGTGAAAGAAAAATTTTGTTAGTTACTGTTGGAATAGTATAATGCACGTACAATAACGGATATGATAAGTTCAATAAATTTAGTAAAATGAGAAAAGAATTGACCATGAATAGAATATTATTTTACATTTACTTTATATGAGAAAGAGAGAATTTTTGATTTCCTCTTAATTCTCAAATAATGTTTTATTAGGAAAAATTCAATTATATATTAACTATAGTACATTTAATGTTTAGTTATAAAAAATTCAATAAACTAGTGGTTTTATTAAAAATTTATTCTTTTTTTTGTTCATCTTCTGCATGTTGTTGATTTTGTTGTGTATTTCCAACTTTTGAAGTTGCTGAATTAACATCATTTCCATTTGATCGATTAACACCGGTATTTGAACTAGGTGATGTTTTACCTGGATCTTGTGTTGGTTTCCAACGTGATGATCCTGATCCTGGACCTGCATATGCTGGTCGCATTTTTCTTTAGTAAATATAATGATTAAAGAAGATCTGTACATCTCGCAGAGAAATGTTATTATATATATATATAAGATATGGATTTGATGCCATTAACGCCATCGAGAAAGATACAAAAAAAAAGAAGATCATTATTATGTTATTATTAATGATAGAAGTCTATATAGGACAAGCGAATATCATTAATATACGTTAAGGTCAAAGAAAACATGTCTATATTAACAATAATAGAACATAATGAAAAATCAAAGAAACGATATATTTACAAAAGAATATTGATAGCATATTATATTAATAAGATTCTAAAGTATTCATTAAATTTTTTCTATAAAAAAAAACGATAATTTTCGTTTTGAAATTCTTCCCTATATCTTTTCGTTCTATTATTATTATTTAAAATCAACGGATTTGTAGTTTCATGTGAATCAATTTAAAGAATTATTTTTCAAATATCTAATGTAGTACTGTTTATATTTGAACAAGAAAATCAAGAAGTATTGTATTTTTCTTCTAAATTAATAAATGTTTGACTAAATACAATTAAATCGTTATGAGATAGTCTGATTTAAGACAACTGTAGTCACGACAAATCCATTTCGTTTTTTGAACACTCTATTGTTCTCCTTTATCTAAGGATTAATAATAAAAAAGTTAAATATCTTGAAACAAAAATAAAAAGTATTTATTAAATAAATTCAAAAGAAAAGATTAGAAAATACATTTGTCTTTCAGACAATAGATTTTTCAAACTCGAAAATGATGAAAAATAAAAACTAACAAATATTTACATCAACACGTTTTTATTAAAATCTCTATATGATCACCTTGATAAATGGCAATAGCAATGTCTAACCAATTATCTCCAGTGAAATGTCCAACAGCAACTGAATAAGGATTAAAATTATAACCCGTTGTATATGATGTTTCATTTCCAAATGTTCCATTTCCGTATCCTTGTGCTAAAATAACTTCATTTGTACCAGCAGCTGCAATAATAATATCTAATATATTATCGTTATCAAAATCACCAATTGTAATTCCATATGGATTCGAACCTATACCCGTTGAATATATTGTTATAAGAGAAAATATTCCATTAATAGATCCAAGAAAAATATATATATTATTTGAACCATAATTGACAACAGCAATATCCGAATAATTATCGTGATTAAAATCAGCAACAGCAACTGCTGTTGGATGAGCATTATTTTCCAATGGATATAAAACTATTGTACTCAATGTTCCATTTCCAAAACCAAAGAAAATACCCATATTATTTGTTCCATAATTAGCGACAACAACATCAAGATTATTATCATGATTGAAGTCACTAACGGCCACTGCATATGGAGCTGATCCATCACCTGTCGAATATGTCATTTCACGTCCAAAATGTTGATAACCAGAACTTATATGTACACCAATATTATTTCCTAAATAATTAGCAGTTGTAACATCTAATAGACCATTTCCATCGAAATCACCTACACCCAATGATATTGTTCCAGCTTTTAATCCAGTTGAAAAAGTGGGTCCTACTAAAAACTGTCCATCACCTGATCCATAAAGTATCAATACACGATTTGTTCCAGGACTTGCAATAACAATATCCATTGCATTATCATTATTGAAATTACCAGATCGAATACTATGAGGACTAGTACCATCTCCAACTGAATATGATATAACTGATGTAAATGTTCCATTTCCATATCCATAGAAAATGCCTATATCATCCGTATTTGTATTACAAATAACAACATCAGATTTATTATCATTATTAAAATCATTAACAATAATAAATGTAGGCATTGAATTATATCCAGTTGAATATGTAATTTGATTTTGAAAATTTCCATCACCAATCCCTATAAAAATTCCCATAGTATTTAAACGATAATTTACTACGACAATATCTAATATATTATCTTCATTGAAATCACTAATAGCAATTGATTGTGGACGTGATCCATCTCCAGTTGAATATATCATAACTGCAGCAAAGGATCCATTTCCAAAGCCCAATAAAACACCAATACTATTACCAAGATAATTTGCAACAACAAAATCTATATATGTATCATTATTAAAATCACCTGCAGCACCACCATAAGGACTTGAATTATTTCCAGTAGAAAATAACATTACAGGAGCAAATTTCTCATTATTTAATCCTACTAAAACACCAATAGTATTTGAACCAGGATTTGCTACAATAATATCAAGAATATTATCATTATTAACATCTGCACTAACAATTTCATATGGATATGAATTATAACCAACTGAATACATTATTAATTCATGAAATGTTCCATTTCCATACCCATAAAGTATTCCAACACTACCATTAGCAGCAAATGCAGCAGCAATATCCATATAACTATCATTATTAAAATCACGAGATATGATTGATGATGGTCTTAAACTAAATTGATTTGAATAAGTTATTTGATCATTAAATACATTATAATCATGACCAAGAAGTATACCAATTGTATCGCTACCTGTATCAGCAATAATAAAATCTAATACATCATCATTATTTAAATCACATGTAGTTATGGAATTTGGTTGTGAACCACTATTTAATTGATATTGTGTTAGATTAGTAAAACTTCCATTACCAAAACCATAAATGATACTTATACTATCATTGTATGAATTAGCAGTTGCAATATCAAGTTGATTATCTTGATTAAAATCACCAACAACAGCATCTACTGGATGTGCATTTAATTCAACAGAAAACAATGTTCGTGGCCAAAACGATCCATTCCCGTAGCCAAGATAGATTCCAAGAGCATCAATAGCTGAATCAACAGCAACAACATCTGATTTATTATCATTATTGAAATCATTAACAATAACTGCATATGGATGTGGACTACTACCAGTTGTATATGATAATACATTTTCAAAATAAGCAGCACTACGTCTAATTAATAGATTAACTGTTCCAATACCAGATTCAGCAACAAACATATTCCATCGAGTATTCCCATCAAAAGTACCTGTAGTAATACCTTTAGGACCAGCTCCACTAACAAGTTGATAGAATCTACCTAAAGTAAAATTACCATAAACATCACCAGTAAGAATTCCAACATTATCGGTGCCAAAGTTGGTTACAATAATATCAAGAATATTGTCATAATTAACATCATTTAAAGCTAATCCAGATGGATTTGAAAATGTCGGATCTGTATATGATACTGCTGTTCCAAATGTTCCATTTTCAGATCCATATAAAATAGCAATATTATCGGAACTAGAATCAGCTATGACAATATCCAACCATGGATCAAGATTAATATTACCTGTAACTATTGAATCTGGATGAGATTGAAAACCTGTTGAATAAGTAATAACAGATTGAAAACTTCCATTGCCAGTTCCATAAAGAATACCAACATTACTCGTTCCAGAATTAGCAATAGCAAGATCAAGTTGATTATCATAATTAAAATCAGCAATAACAATTGCACTCGGATCAGAATTTTGACCAGTTGAATATGTTACTGCATTAGTAAAATTTCCATTACCATATCCCAGAAAAATAGCGACATTATCAATACGAAAGTTAGCAACAGCAATATCTAATATTGAATCATTATTAAAATCTCCATTAACAACATAAATTGGATAAGATTGATTACCAGTTGAATATGTTGTCATATTTGTAAATGATCCATTTCCAAGTCCAAAAATTATAGCAATATTATAAGTACCATAATTCGATACAACTATATCCGATCGATTATCATTATTAAAATCTCCAATAGATAAACAAGTTGGTGAACTTCCACTTTCAAATGAATAAGATATTTCGGGATAAAAACTACCATTTCCATATCCAACCATTATTCCTATGCTATCAATATTAGGTTTAGTAACAACAATATCTAAATATTGATCAGAATTAAAATCAACAGAAGCAATAAATGATGGATGTGAATTAAGTCCAACAGAATATCGCGTTTGAGTTGCAGAATATGAACCTGAATAACCAATAAAAATCCATAATGAATTTGCTTCATAACTAACAACAGCAATATCTAATTGATTATCATTATTAAAATCACCAATAGCTGCTGCAAATGGAAGTTGATCATCTTCACTATAATATGTTGTTAAATTATTAAAAGATCCATTACCAAATCCAGGAAGTACTTGTACATATCCATTTGTTGAATCTAAAATAATAATATCTGATTGATTATCGTTATTCATATCACCAGTAGTAACAAATTGTGGACGTGATGTCGTATCAAGAATATACATTTGTTGTTGTTGAAAACTTCCATTTTTATAACCATAAAATATACCTATATTATATGTACCTGAATTAGCAACAATTAAATCAAGTATATTATCATCATTTAAATCAGCACCAGTAATTGAAGATGGTTGGGATCCATAATTAGTCGAATAAATTCTTGGTATAGAAAATAGTCCAGAAGCATTTCCATAAAGAATAGCTATATTATTTGTACCATAATTTGCAATAGCTAAATCTAAGAATTTATCATCATTAAAATCAGCAATAAATACTGAAGATGGAATTGAATCATATCCTAAAAAATAATTTGTTTCTTTTGAAAAATTTCCATTACCATATCCAAAATAGATACTAATACTATTTGTTCCATAATTAATAGAAATAATATCTAATTTCGTATCATTATTAAAATCTCCACAATTAAGATAAAATGGACGTGATCTTCCAGTTGAAAATGTTGTCATATTTTCAAATGTTAAATTTTTTCCTCCAAGAAATATTCCAATATTATTATTTCCATAATTAGCAACAACGATATCAAAGAAATTATCTTGATTAAAATCTTTAATAATAACTGAGTAAGGAGAAGATCCTGAATTAGTTGAATATGTTATTTGATTTTGAAAAGTTCCATTTGTGTTTTGAATAAATATTCCAATATTATCTTTACCAGAATTAGCTACAACAACATCTAATTTATTATCGTGATTAAAATCTTCTAAAGCAATTGAATGAGGTCGTGAGTTATATCCAATTGTACTAGCAACTGTTAGTTTATAAGTGGGAATACATTTGTAACCTAGAAATACATAATTATTAAAATAAAAATCAATAGATATAATAATAATTTACTTTGTTTTGGATAAGTTAAACATACAATAATAATTGCAATAATCATTGATATACATATAAATAAAGCGAATAGTAAAATACTTTTAATAGATATTACTGATTTTTGTAAAGGATCTTTTCTATAAAAGATAAAATTATAGATCCGATTTTGATTATCAAAACAAACAAATTGTACCCGTTAATTAAAGCTTCAATATTTAATGAACCAAGAGTTGTAAAACTACAATTTCTTTGTGGAGCCCATGGATTTAACATAGAAGTATTGTTTGTATCAGAACGAATTCGTTGAGGAGTATTTTCATTTGTTGTTGTTAGATTGATTATACTAGGCGTTTCCAATGATACGATTTCACTCGACATTTTATTGAAAAATTCTAATTATACAAAAACAGAAATAATATTATTTTATGTAGAGTATAAATATAGCTTTGTTTTTGCATAAAAACTACGTTTTTGATGAAATTTCATTTAATATAAATTCACTACTTACATTCTATATCAAACTGTAATAATATTTTGAATCCGATATAATTTATTGTAAATTTGATGAATTGAATATATTACACATTAACTATCATTTGATTATTATTGCTTGTAAGTTATCTTCAAAATAATCTTTATTTATATATATATATACAGTTGCGTCGCATATAATAATATATGACTAATCAAATTAAAAACTAATACAAAGATAAAAATAGTAAGACAACAAAAAAGTAGATGTAGTATTATTACTGTATAGTTTATTGTATCATATCATTCTTTTTTGATTTCATCTTATTGACATATAAAGTATATACTGACGTCAATTATATTCTTATTTACAGTAATCACCTATAGTATAACATCATATAATTTTTGCATTTTATCATGATTTAATACGTTCTATATGTATTTTTTCTTTCTTAATGATACACTTTCGAAAGAAACGCACAATACCGATCGATATGTTTTATCGTTCTGTCATTTAATACTTGTCAATTGAGACAAAGGTGAGAGATATGTAAAATTAACCAGACCTTACATTCAAGGAGTATACATAATATTACTGTGCTTATTCAGTTAATATCTTCTTTTTTATTTTACACTGAAGTATGTTTGTTTGGTTTTTCCTTGTAAAATCGAAAATAAAAATAGTGAATAATAGAAATATCAATGAAAATTTTTCAAAACGCTTGTTATTTTAGTTGAGTATAGGCAAGATGACATCAACGTAATAATGTATTGTGATTATCTATCAATAATACAATAATAATCTGATAAATTCTATGAATTTTATTACCAGTATATTATAGTTTGTAGAAAATAAAAATTAGTTATCAATCTTATATTATACTAAAATAGATTTATTAAATCAATAATAAAAATCAGTTATTATATATTCACACGTAAACTTCACGTTTGAAACTTACTTTTTATGATCAAGTCTATCCTATATGTACATCTTACAAAGAAAAGCATCCGTTTGAATATATATGTAATTGTAATAGACGATAGAAGAGAAATTTTAGCAATCAATATGTTTTATTTAAGAGAAGCGTTTGCATCAAATAATCGTATCGCAGTCTATGGTGACAAAATTTTCCATTTATCTATTAATATTTACAAGAAAAATGACTTTTTTTTTCAAAAGATTTCGGTCTCAATACTAATGAATATTATTTTGTATCATATATTATTGCTACAGATCTATTTTCATATTCGGTTTGAATATGGATGTCGATATATAATTTATGTCTCACTCAATTTACTCTCATAGTAAAAATAGCTATTGAGAAGTACTTCTTTATTTAGTTTTATTTTAATAATCAGCATATAACAATGAGTAGTTAAAAGAATCTCAAGCAATGCTAATTAAAACCTCAACGGGTACGTGATCTGATCCACGATTGATTTATTTCCATCTATTTTAAATTTGAATCTATTGTTTCATTTTTTTTGATTTATCGTCAGGCGAAAGTTTTGATGAAATATTTTCATCATTAATACTTGAGGGTGTGAATGTCGGTGGATAACGATACTACACACGCTGGAGTTTATCAATACTAGAGTAAATCGAACAATTTTTATTTCTCTGATTGCTGGCATACTTGAAGTAAGCATAAAAATTAGGTTTATAAGACAACAGTATTACAATATACAACAGAAATTCTTTTTCATCAACGATCAAACTATACATATTTATTGCTTATTTTCACTGGAAATCTTTTAGTTTTAATCTAATGATGTAACCATTGTTCTTATTATTTCTTCAACGATTTTTCAGGTAATTGAAAACATCAATGTTGTTTTGCTATTAATTAAGACCATTCATTTCGTCATAATGATGTCGATTTCAATACATTTGAATACCATTTCTATCTAAAAAAATGTTGTTTGCGGCAATGATTCCAGGGTGCCGAGATCATCGTTTGAAAAAGGTTTCCACCGCTTTTCTACGGAATGCTTTTGATATAAGCAAATTTTGATAGAAACTACTGGCAGGAGGTGTAAAAACTAGAATATGAATTGCGGGTGATAGAAATTGTTCGAATGCTTGTTGTTGAAAACTCTTCATTTGAGGTTGCGTAATTTGCAGATAAATATTAAAACTAACTGTCGGCGTGCTACAGATAATAAAAGTCACTATTTCGGCCAAAATTAAAATAGTCAGTTGACGATCTCTAGATTGTTGTATGTTTGATTGAGTCTCGACAGCATTTACTGGTTGAATTCGAACTCGTTGGATATTTTTCAATGTTAACCTAGCAAATATAATCATAAGACACGTTGGAGCCAGGTTATTTATAATAATATTACTGTAGGTAGCAAAGTTACTATAGGAACCTGGTTGATATCTTAAGGGTGTGGGTGTGAATCGTTTTTCTCTTATCCTAGGTTCACCCACACCTACACTCCACCCTTGACAAATCGGAAAGTATTAGTTATCACCCGCATGCTTAAGATGGTTTATATGTTAAAAAGGGTGCGGATTTGAATATTTGAAATATTTCTTAATTATATATAGATCATTATTTTATTGAGTAAATTAAAATAATGAGGCGATGCCAATTTTATTTTTAATATGGAGAAAGATGAAAATAACATAAATAACAAAAAGACGGAATGTTCGTGTACACATAGAGTATCATCATGCTTCGAAAAAAAAAATATTCGCCTTTTTTTATATAGCATGTCGTTCATCATCATGAATAAATATTTTTAATGCATGTTTAAAAAAAACGAAGACTCATTATTAGAAGTTAAAAAATATTCGCATTGTAGTTTGATAATTTTTAAAATTTTAGTTGTTGCATTATTGAAAAATATTTTAAATAAACTTGTCAATTTAGTTGACTTGTTATAGTGCTTGTAGAAAAAAGAGTTCAACTTCAATTTTGATTTATAATGATAAATAGATCTACACTGAATTTATTTTCAAATTCTATTTTTTATAAGATTGACTTTAATAAACATACAGCATTTTCAAGCTTAGAAAATGTTTGATTTCCTGCTGAAAGTCCAAACTAATATTGATTAACTCTCATTCACATCTAAATATAATCATATTCGCATGCAGATCGCGACAAGCTAGATTTATCTTTTTGACACGATGGAAGCTTTTTTAGTATTAGAAAACTGCTTTATCAACATCGTTTTTTTTATTAAATCTTCTCAGTGACATTGAACAGATGGAAATAAATTAAATTCTACTATGTTGACCAAGGGGGAAAAATCTCATTCGCAACCATTCCGAATGGCTGCGAATGGATGGGAATGAATGAGAATGGATAGGAATGAATGCGAATGAATGCGAATGGATGAGAATGGAAGGGAATGGATGAGAATAGAAGGAAATGGATGAGAATGGTTAGGAATGATTGAGAATGGTTAGGAATGGTTTGAGAATGGATGAGAATGGAAGGGAATGGATTAGAATGGAAGGGAATGGATGGGAATAGAAGGGAATGGATCCGAATGCCCGAATGAGATTTTTCCCCCTTGCATATAGCAATTTGTTCCATGTCTAACATTTCATTATTTTGACGACATTGATTAACAGATAAATGAAATTGACAAAGCTTAGGAAAGAGTGAAAGAAGAAAATCGCTTAATCGACCAATTCGAAGATATTTCATAGATGGCAAGCAACTAGTTGTCAAAGAAAACGAAGAAATTCTATCCTGACAATAGAAATCCAAATAAGTCAAAGAGGGAAAGATCAATAATATTTTCTCGAAGTAGCTTCCACTTTGATTACGTATAGTTAATTGACGAACATTTACCAGTTGAATAGTTGATGATAATGGAAAAACGAATCGTTCACATCTTCCAAGATGACTAATTTCCAATCGAGGAAATTCACCATTAAATATTAATTCAAGAAGTTTAGCAGAACTGTTTGGTAAAGATAGAGATCGTAATTGAGAACAAATATTCGGACGAATTATATCGTCAGTTTTATTGAATCGTCCATAAAACTGCTGGTAATCGAAAGATGGATAAATGTATAATAAACGATGACCATTGGGTACATATTGAGGTTCTTTATATGTAAAGTCTAATCCTTCAGTATAATATGGAATAGAAATTGCCTTGAATGAATTAAAAAAAGTAAGAATAGATTCTAAACGATTCTGTGTCGTAACAATGACATTCGGCAATGATTTGAGAATAAGATTAAGACGAATATTTAATTGAGAAAATAACAAATAGATTTCATCACCTGTAAAATAATCAAAGATTTCCATTAAAATTTCTACGGGTAGATCTTCCAAACGAAATATTCTTGAATAGTTCATCTTTTTTCTATTCTCTATTTTATGACGCAAAAGTATTATTCTTCTTATTTTTATAGTCAACGAACAAAGATACATATTAATGTGTCGTTATGACATACAAACTGAGCAATCAAACCAAAGCGCTCTATGTATTTATGTAAAGTAACAAATTCTTTTATATTTTAATCCCAATCAAAATCTCTATATGTAATAGAAAAACGATTTTGCATTTTTAACTGTTCATTTTTCTGTACTGTAGATTCATTGATAGTTTTGTTCAGATTGATTTTGAAAATTAATAAAATAGAAGATGAATAACAACTTTATAATATTATCAAATTAAATCTAATTGTCAACTTATTACGTCAGTTTCTTTTCTAACGATTTATATTACACATGCTTTTGATCGTATATCTTAATTTGATTAAAGATGAAACCATTGTTACCATTTTTTATACAAAAAATCTAAATATAATGTAGTATCTATAGTTCTTAATTCTGTGATTTTTTCCTAAAGTTTTTCAATATCCAACTATATTGTTTTTTATGAATGTTATAATCATTTGAATAAAATAGATGTGCTAGAACAGTACCGAACAGAATATAGATCTATGAGCATTTTGTAAGGAATCACTGGACTACTCAAATACTCATATTCGTTAAATATTCATAGTCGATGTAAGTGTGGATAGAGAAGCATACCATAAACTCACATCCACATGCATGTTGAGCTTGTGAAAGAATTATTAGATTCCTAAGGTAGCTATCTTCGAAATTCGATAGAGGATCAAAGTGAGAGAAAGAGACATCTTTTATTGCGAAATCTACGGCTATAAATAATTCACAAGAAGATGATGCAGTGATAGGTATGAAAAGAAAAATAAAGTAAAAAGGGAGGATCACGAGAGTGAACCATGGTCACTCTTTGATAAAGTTATTAATTTTTTCCAATTGAATCAATCTGATTATTTTTTGCATCTTTGGTTGACTGTTGTTTCAGTAGAACTATAAAAATCAGTCGAGCATTAAGTGATAGAGGAGAAAAAGGAAGAATCGTTACCTTCTTACTGGTACGTGACACGTGTCAATCTTCATTCAGATAAGTTGTGTTACCTATTTGCTCGTTCTGTACGAAGAGATAACTAGAAAAGAAAAAAATATTCATATTGGGAAGTAGAGAACAACAAAATCATTTGTAAACAACACGCTTATTTGACTATACACGTCGACGACTAAACACAAGCAAAAGTGAATCCTGTATCGTTAATGATGGTCGATGAAAATCTACTGAAGTTTCGAATCGTCTGGCTGGACAAAGTATTCATTTACGTTGACAAACGTCAAAAAGTGAAAGAGCGTTGGCACAGTCTCACTTCCTTATTAAAAACGTACTGGGATGAAAAAGACTGTTTTGAGTACATATTGAATGGAGTAGAAGGTATTAATTTCATTCTTCTAATCATGTCAATAGATTCATTCGACGAGAATCTTCTTACTAAAGCTTTACAACTTATACAAGTCACTTTTTTCTATGTAATCTCTTCAGAAGACATTAGTAAAGAAACTTTGCCAACAAATATTCGTGGTGTCTTCAACAACGAGGAACATCTTCTTTCCAAAATTGCGAAAGATATCGAGCAGTATAGTCCAAATATATGTAAATTCAATATATTATCATCAGGTCGTCCGATGAAAACAGACAGATCAACAAAAGATCTTTCTCGAGAATCGGCTAAATTTATATGGTTTCAATATTTAATAGAAATCCTTTTATCTGTACCTGATCATGAGACAGCTAAGAAGGATATGATTGATTTTTGTTGCTCGAGATATGCCGATAATCAAACTGTACTTAAAACAATCCAAGAGTTTAAAAATAATTATCGTTCCGAAGAAGCTATCAAATGGTATGCGCGTGGTTCCTTTCTTTATCATCTGGTAAACAAAGTACTACGTGAAGAAAATATCGACGACATGTACAGTATGCGTTTAATCTTTTCGGATCTTAACACACAACTTACTGAATTACATGCGGATTACCTTGAATTATTACTTGAGTGGGAGTTCTCATCTGAGATTGAACTCTATAGAGGCCAGCTGATGTCACCACGAGAGCTCGATCGACTCAAACGGAATTGTGATGGTTTTATATCGATGAATACTTACCTTTCAACATCGCGTTCGAGGAACATCGCACTTTTTTTCTGTGGTCTCGGTCTACAACGACAACAGGAAGAACAGCTTGAATCTGTACTCTTCACGATATCAATTGAAACGACCGTATGTAACACGCCATTTGCCGACATTAAGCGCTTTAGTTCGATACCTAATGAAGAAGAAATATTAATTACAGTTGGCGCTATTTTTCAAATACAGTCGGTAGAAAAGGAAGATAATGTCTGGATTATTAAGTTAGCCCTATATAACCAAGACAATGAAGATATGAAACAACTCAAAGATTCTTTTTATGGCATCGACGAGAAGGAACCTCATGATCTACACACTTTCGCTCAATGTTTACTCAGTATGGGTGATCACGAACGAGCCAAATCACTCTACTGTCGGCTGATATCTAGTACATCGCCTGCAGACAACCGAATGCCAGAATTGTGGCGTAATTTGGCTCTGTGCCTTCTTCGTCAAGGTCATAAAAATTTGGGAGAAATACTCACATACTTCTATACAGGACTCAATCTTATTCCCAATGAATCTTATGCAGCACGTGTGGATATTCTCTTGGACATAGCCGATTGCCTGTTGTTAAATGAAAAACTTGATCAGGTCAATGAAGTTTGCAAAGAAATTTACCGTTTGCTCATACTAAATCAACAAGAGACGGGCCATTTATATCAAATAGCACGTCTGTTCACTTTAGTTGCAGCTTTTCATCATACAACGGGAGAGTATTCCGTTGCACTTGAATTTTTACAGGCTGTGTATCTTCTCTATTTTCCAACTTTGAAAGAAGAACGTCTTAGTGTAGATTATATATTAAAGAATCTAGCCGAAACAATCATGGTAGATGATACAGTTGATACGCTTGATTCTATTCAACGATCTCTTCAACTCCATATTAATTCATTCCCACTCGAGCATCCCAAAATAGCCGATTGTTACGACATCCTTGGTTGGTTCTATGGACATCATGGCGACATCCTACGCGCTCAAATGTCCTTTGAAACTGCTATTGAACTACGAATCAGTGCTGCATCTTATAATCCGATTCATCTTGCTATGTCATATATTGCACTTGGAAAAACATTTCATCAGGAAAAAGCCATGAATTGTTATGATAAAGCTTTTTGTCTTCTCAAGGAAAACTTACCAGTCGACCATTCTCAATTTATTGATCTTTACGTAGGTATGGCAAATGAATATGAATATATGGGAAAGATGGAACAAACACGGCATTATTTGAATGAAGCGTTAAAAATTGAACACAGTCTGAAGAGATTGACGTCGAATATTGCCTTAGCTGAGATTTATAAATGCTTCGGAACAAGTTATTTGAAAGAAGAAGAGTACGATGTTGCTGCCGACTACTTCAATAAATCAATTGAAATACTCATACAATGCTCTTCTGATCGAAGTACGAAACGAGACCTTGCACATCACTTATTTTACCTCGGTTGTGCTTATCAAGGCCGTAAAGAATTCGAACTTGCGCTATCTTGCTATAAACGATCTTTAGATATCGATTGCAGACAATCCATCGTTAATAGGTCTCAAGTAGGAGCAACTTGTAATAATATTGCTCTCATACTTGAAATTCAACAAAAGTACGATGGAGCGTACGAATATTTCTTACAAAGTGTGCAAGTCTTGCGTGAATATTTTTCAGACCAATGTGAAGGTTTGTTCGAGCGTTATACGGGCCTTGCACGTGTCTGCAAATATTTAAAACGAGATGCTGAATTTTTAGAATATAATGAAAAAGCGCTGATAATTGTCAGAAACGCCTTTCCAGAAGGATCATCTTATGCTGGCGATATTCACAATTCAATTGCGCGTTTTTGGGAGAGTAAAGGAGAATACATGTACGCTTTCAAATCTTACAAGTCAGCGTTAGAATCAAATAGACAATGCTTTGGTGATTATGATATCACTGTATCAAACACTTACAATAATCTGGCACGTATTTCTGCAGAGCTGTGCGAGTCCAACAAAGCACTGGAATACTATCATAAAGCGCTTGCAAGTTGTGATGCATCCAAAGAGATTAAGAGACATTTGTTTGGAAACATTGGAATTGAGTATTATATATTAGAACGTTATGGCCATGCTGAAATTTACCTTAAACGTACACTACTCATGTTCAAAAATGCTTCGATCGACAAAAAATCTGATTATAAATCGTTACTTGATTACTTAGCACGAGTGAAAGCAAAGCAGGGTAAGATTGAAGAAGCTGAAAAGCTTTGTCAAACAGTTTTGTGCGCACACTCAGAAGATACAATACTTAATGCCCTATCGTACATAACTTTCGGTATTATACGAAGTGAAAGCGGTGGCTTTGGCGATAGTCTTTCCTACTTTCACAAAGCAGCAAATATACTCAAGACCTTAGATGCGGATCACCGAGGCTTGATACAACTCTACGCCTTTCGAATAGGATCAACATATTATAATTGTAAGCATTATGGCAAAGCTCTCGTCTATTATGAAATGGCATTAAATTTGGCAATACGATTAGCACCAGGCAATCCAAAACAGTTCCAACGTATACAATACGGAATCGAGCGAATTATAGATCATATTATGAATGATTCAAATCATTGCTGTCCAAAACGCTTACAATTTCTTTCGAGTTGTATCCTGTTTTGAACTTTCCCTACGATAGTGTTACATTTTAAAAAAACCTTTAATTGTATTATCGAAATAGAAAACTAAATCAAGATTATTAGATTGAGAGATTTTGGAAACTTGGTAATATTATTGATTTATTGACACCAAAACGCTTTTATCAAATTTTACAAAAAAATATTATATTGAGGGTGTGAGTGTGAGTGTGAGTGTGAGTGTGAGTGTGAGTGTGAATGTGGATGTGGGTGGCGTGGGTGTGTGCAACGAGAGATACTTTACTTACATTCTCACCAGATATAACACACAGAAATAATATCGGAAAGGAATCTATAATAAAATAATGGTAGACAAAATTGGCATTTCATTAAGAATAAGACAATGAGTACTTTATTCGTAGATATACATAAATAAAAGATAGTCGATTAAATCATGAATGTATTCCATCTATGTTTCTTGTCTCTATACTTTACTAGATCTTTTTAGTAGAGTATTTTTGATGAAATGTCATCGAAAGATAAACAAAATTTAAAACAATTGAGTATGTGAAATTATACTGTTACATTTATTCATTAAGCACTTTTCTCTAATAATTTTTTATTCTAGTATTTAGACAAGCTGATGATTTCTGAAGCAGTATTTTCGAGAATTTCCGGCAAGAGTATTCAGGAGACTCACTGTTCCCGGCAGGAATCCTGCTGGAAAATGCCAAGAATTCGACCCTGGAATCGGTTCCGAGTAGAACCGAACGAATCAGGTGACCGGATCCGTTCAACGGATATACTGCTTCCATCAAATCTCCGGCATTGTCTGAAACAGACCGTTTCCGGGTCGGATTGTTCCACCTCGATCATTAGAGGTACAAATATTAATAATTCCAATGCAAAGGTTGTGTCTTTATGTGATATATTTATAGTTGCTGGTGTTGATACAGATCAATATCTTGAACTTGAAAAAGCTTTACATTCGATCAAAACTAATTTTTCAAATATGACACCTATTGATTCAGAAGTTAGTTCTGTTGATTTACAGACTTTTCTGGAACAGATTAAATATATTAACATTAGCATGAATTATGCAGATAATAGTACAGATTATGAAAATATTGATGATTATCATATTCAACGTGAACGACCAATCTCGGATATTCCTATAATCTCAAATAAAAACTTACAGCCACCTTTATTTTGCATTATCCAATATTTCGGACGTGAACATGACGGTGTCAAACGGTGAAAAACGACATTCATTCACACCCGTTTGATGCCTTATACGACGCTAGGAATTATCGATCTGAGCATATATTTAGACACAAGAAAAATATTAATTAGTTTCAGTGATATTATCTATCGTCTACCGATTCTAGTTGAAACAAGAAAAGAAATATATGATATGATCACCAAAATAGTCAAGGAAAATTTGAGTTTGAATGATATCGTCGAACAATTACGTCGATTATGTATTAGATTAAATAATAGAAGCGAAACATTTCCACCTGTTAATATTTGTGGAGATTTTCAAGAAACTCTCAGCTCAGTTATTCATAATTTATGGAGCTTGGCAGACGAAAGTCACTTGATCAAATTTCATGAAATTGCTGGTGGAATTAGAAAATTATTTAAAATAGACTTGATGAATATAGCAAACAATTAGATTATATAAAAGAAGAACTCCTCCGGTTGATTATTCCTGAAGCAATATTCCATGAATTTCCTGCGAAAATCCTCAGGAAACTCACCGTATTCGATAGAAACCCTGTCGGAAAATGCCAAGATTTTCACCTTGGAATCGGATCCGTTCAGCGGGAATAGTCCTTACATGAAATCTCCAGAATATCACGGAACCGACCGTTTCCGTGCCGAATTGTTTGACCCCGGTGGTCGATACTTATTTTGGTAATGAAAATACCACCAATAAAGGCATTGAAGACGCTATAAAGAAATGTTTTTCGGACATGTCTTCCTTACTTAATGGCAAAGAAACGCAAGCTTTGAAACTTTTAAAATTACTGGCTGATGAATTAAAAGAACCATTATTTATTTGAATAATATTTTATTAGTAACATATATATTTGAAGAAAAAAAAGATTATTTAAATTAAAAATAAATTCGATGATATCAGTTCATATCTAATCTAACCTAAAGAGAGAAAAAAGAAAATTGATTTTGAATAACTATGAGATGTCTATAATTCAATTTGCAATATAAATGAACTTTCAGAAGACCATTTTCATTTTGAAAATAAACTATATTTATCAGCGATTATGATAAGTGATAATTTGAGGGTGCGGGTTTACTTAATGAGACCAACTCCATATTTATATCGTACAATCAGTTCTCAGACATGTATTTATTGATAATTGAATGTTTTAAATATAAATTCTCATTTGATGTCAACGAATTTGTAGTCTCACGTGAACCAATCCAAAGAATTATTTTGCAAGTATCTAATGTAGTTGTTTGTGTTTGAACAATAAAATCACGAAGTATAGTATTTTCTTTAATCCATTTTGTTATATCAGTCACATTGTTAATCGTAATATTAGGTAGTTCAATATTTGCCATTGTTAATTGTCGAAGAATATTCAAAAGAAAAAACATGTCCTCTGATGAATCTAACTTTATTGTAATTTCTTCTAAATTAATAAATGTTCGACTAAATGCAATTAAATCGTTATGAGATAGAGTTGCTTCTTCACCTACAAGAATCAGTTTACGTATACGTATAGTTATTAGGAAACAAATCCATTCGTATTTTTTATATTGTAACATAAAATGTAGCCAGTTAGTAGAACATGTCAATTTATCAACATTATTTGTTGATTTTATAAGAACAGATGCAAATCTGAACTGAGTAATTGGTATATCATTATTAATAATAATATGTTCAAGTGATGAAGATTGTAAAAGATCACAAATATTTGGATGAAAAGGTTCATTTTCTTCAGTACTAGCACCATATAACTGAATAGAATTTACATTAGGACATATTGATTGGGTAGATTTCGATAAATTCCACCATAGATCAATGTGAGTGACATTGCGATATACAGCTATAGATGTTGAGTCAACTAAAACTTCATCATCAGGCCAATAAAGAATAGTAATTATAGGTGATTGAATAGTTGATAAACGAAAAAATCGACCACGATCACGTAAACGACATTGAACAAACCAATGACGTAATATCCAAAATTGACTTTTAAAAGGTTTTAATAATTCAATATGATCGGGATTTTCAGGTAATGTCATGGTGAAACCAAAACGAAATAAAGAAAGACTTGATGGTAATATTCTTTCCCATTGATGAGCATCCAAAAAAGGTAGATCAGGATTGAGTGCTTCGACTGATAATGAACGAAGTTGAGGAATATTTCGAAGAAACGAAGCAAAATGATCGAATAATACCTAAAATATTTTACAATTATTAATTAAATTTTTTATTAATATACTCACATCTTGAGTAATATTTATATTCAAATATTGCAATGAATGAAATGTAATCGGAGATTGTAAAATATTTTCAGTAATACCTGATAGAACAGCAGTCAAACGTTTCAAATTAGGATACGTTTGTAGAAAGAAAGATATTGAATCTATATGAATAAGATGAACATGTAACTGTTCTATAAATGATGTTACATTCAATGATTGAATCCATTTATTTGAAATTTTGTATGGAAATGCTAAGCTACGTAAAGATATAGGTAACGCGATAGTTTCATCAAATAAATCATCTGTATTTATACTAATTGGCATCAAGCGTTTATAGTCACCAATTGATAAATATTTAAGATGAATTAATCCAGACAAATGAGTTACAAGATTTTCTACATCCGATTTTGTAGAGTTCAATAATTTGATTGATTCAAGTTTGACAAAATATTTTGCAAGAGGATTAAAACGTGTCAAAAAATGTCTAAGCTGCCCAGGTGTTGATGAATTATCTCCATTCAATGTTAAAGAGATAACATGAGCACCAATATATGGCAGAATTTGATTACAATACAAATCAAATTTAATCTTTGAGATATGAATCAAATTAATATGAAGTCGATAACATTGTTGACTAAATAAAAAATAATTGATGTTTTTTCATAATATAATTGAAATAAAACTTACTCAAGTATTGTTGTAATATATTGATTTAATCCATAAAATGCATGATACAGATCGCATGCATCTAGATAATCACTTATTTCTACAATTAATTCAGGTGGTAAATTGTCAAATTTCGAGAAAACCATATTGATCAATCAAATTGAAGTAATCTAAAAATTCAATGTATTTTACATTTGATATTCAATAAAAAAAATAGGAAAAAGATTTTCTTCTTCGTCAAGGTCTATAATATATAGACGAGTAATCGAATAAAAAATATTCATTTCTGTACAAATATCACAATCTGCCTAACAGTAAAAACATTTAAAATAAAATCACTCAATTTTATTTGATTTACATATCGAAAAAAATCCAACACAAATTATTTAGCGAGAATTTGACTCTATATTGAAAATTAAGTAAAACCTATGAATTGTTACCATTCAGTTTTAGAGTATTGATCGAAAGATGTACAGAAAATATTTGTTTTCATCTTACCAAGGTAGGTCAGAATAAGTACGAATCGTATTTATATTGCTCGTCTTGTTAACATCACTAAAAACAATCTCTTAGATGGCGCGTCGCTTCAGTATTCGATGTCTCAGAATGTACAGAAGAAGATTAGGATAAGAACTCAATCTATGACTCATTCTGCCACGTCGACAAGGAAAAATAACAGAAGCTGCGATGTGTACTTAGTTAATTGTGACAATTATAGTTATATATTGGCAATAATTTTCAGTATCTTTCCAAAATAGAAATTTTAAATTTAATTTATTTACATAAAATTCTTTTCATTTTTATTCAAATTGATGAATATATATGATCAATCTTTTCAAATATCATCAAGTATATTTACTATTATAATAGTGCAATGAATTAGAGTGAATCATTTATTTTCTTTTGTTAAATATAAGGCTATGTTCCAGTTGACTGATCACACGACTAAGATTATTTGTATATTTTAAACTTTAACATCAGTTTTTATGGCAACAATAATAATAATAACAATCATTCGATTATTCAACAATTTACTTGAATGAAAAAAAAGAAGCTCTTGATTTTTTGTTTTAAGATTAATATGTGAAAATTTTTCTGTTTGTTATTTTATACTTATATTTATTTTGTAGACATTTATAATTTATTTGTTCTGTACATATATTAGTATGACGTCAGATTTATTTTAGAACATAATAAATACTAGTTCACCTGTATAATTTCAACAGTAGTATTAAGTAAAGATGCGCAAACCAAGTATACAAATTAACAGCAATACAAAAGTTAGACGTAACCATGAGTAGGTTGTTTTGATTTAAATTTCCAAAATGAATTTTTTTCTATTAGAAATTCGCAACATGTTATATGGATAATAAGTATTGCAACATTTACTTGTATTATAGCAATTATTGGTGCTGTTTTGGGATCTGTTGGTGTTATAAAACAAGTACATAATCGAGTTGATAAAAGTTTAAGTAATGAGTGGGAAACGAAATGTTTTGTATTTCAACGAGTATCAATTCCATATCCATGTAATCCATGTAATAATTCAAATTGTATAACATATTTTTGTTCAGAAGAAAAATTTAAAGTTAGATACGAAATATTTGATGGAACAGAAATATTTAGTTATATTAATATCAATGGTAATTCAAAGAAACAAAATATTCAAGTTAGTATAATACTGTCTTTTTAAAGATTTTTCTAATAAAAAAAATCTTTGTTTAGATTGGACAAGAATATCCATGTTATTATGATCGATCAACTGATTATAATTCAGTTAAATGGGAACATAAACAATGGAAATCTCAAACTGTAATGATTAGCATTGGCATTAGTTTAATCATCATTGCTTTTATTGTGCTCACTCTATTGGGAATTTATATGATAGTTATTGAAAGACCACGTTTAAATCAGCTCAAAAGAAGAAATCAAATGTTAACACATTTATCAGCTGAACATTAAAAAAGGATTCATTTCAAAGAAATATTTCGCATAATATATTGCTGTTCTGTATCATATTTTTAAACATACATCTACTTTTTCTTTTAAGTTATTTTTTTTTTATATTTAACAAGTTAGCAAACAAAAAATAATAAAGCTTAATCACATTTATTACTGATAACAACAAAATCTTTATGGTTGTTTTGAGTAGTCTAATGACGTATCTATAAAAGAAAATATTGTTTATTAGAATTTCGAATAATCATTATTTTTTTCTTCTTAGATTGAAGCTCAAAGAGTAAAGGTTACCTCTACAATTAAACAAAAGATTAGAGCATATGAATATAATTTTATATGATAATAAGCACACCTGTCGTTTTTTTCTATACTTGTTGCTTATTCTTTTATCTTCTACGACGTCACGTTTGTCATATGTATGTATATCAATAGAAAATAACAAACAACAGATGCTTATCTGGATAATGTCAAAAAAAAATGATATAGCAAAAAAAACTGACAAAAAATCAGGTTCTACCCTGATTTGAACAGGGGTTACTGGAGTCAGAATCCAATGTCCTAACCACTAGACTATAGAACCATCAATTGTTCATTTATACTATTTAGAAAAAAAAAGATTTAATTAATTCTCAGTTTATTATCAATAATAAAATCTTAAATCACATATTATTTTGTCTGTTTAAAATTGTAATTAATCGTTGTTTATAATTTTGATATTGTTGTCGAATAGCATATTGATATGATTGTTGATCATCATTAAGTAATGTATAAAGTATTGATAATTGTTCATTATTTAATAAAGGTAAACATCGTAAAAATAGATTTATATCAACAGTCAATAAAGAAAAATCTTCATATTTTGTATTATTATTATCTGAGCAAACAAGACAAGGCATAGATCGAGGTAAATTAACTGGAATTTGTTCGATTGATTTTTTTTGTCCATATAACCAATAAGAAAAAAAATGATCAATAGTTTTTGGATATATAGTTCGTTTAATCGGTATCATCACTCCAGCTTGAATCTGTGAACGTACAAGACGATAATCTGCTGGTTGCATTTCTTTCTTTTTTTTGCTTTCTAAAGTGACATAAATATATACGTTCATGTGCTTTATAGAATGTTAATGAATAATGATACCTTTAATCGGATTGATTATTTCGTCATTATTGACAACAATATGTGATGAACGTCAAAGAAACAACAGATTATTTCTCATATTAAATATCAAGGACAACATGCTGTTGAGAGTCCTTCTATTCATTATATATTGTTCATTAATTGATTGTTTTCAATTAGAAGAAGAAAAAAAAAATTTTTTTCTTTCACGGCATTGTTTTTAGTCAAATTGAATAAAAAGCTTGACAGCTGTGTTCACTATTCACATCTCCATTAGATGTTTGCCGACAGAAATCATATATATGTTCCGAGTTTGTTTTAAAAAAATTGTTCCTCACATACTCGCTTTCATATTAGATTTTCTCTTTTTTTTGTTGTTCTCTCCTAAAGAACGGAAAAAAGAAAAATAGGAAAAGAAAAAGATTTGTTTGTTGATGACTGACAGTCTTATTTTGTGCTATTTAGTTAGAGAATACAAGTGTGTTTTGTCTTCGAAGGTTATCATTTGGCGAACACATACATGTATATATAAAACCGACATATATGCACCAGCAGCTATTTATTCTTTTCTTTCTTTTTTTCTTCTTTTTTTTGCTCTCTTCATTCTTTTTCGGAAGAACGCACGTGTATCTTAGAATTTAAGCTGTGAATGAAAAAATTGAGTGTCACCTTGGATTCAATCAATATTTATGGATGACAAAGTAATCGACAATTCTTTGACATTATTTTAAGAGATTTACAAATCTATTGAACACAAGAAGTAGGGCTTTTTTTGTTGAATAACATTTATTCCAGTTCATGTAAAAAGATAATTTTACTTAGGAAAGAAACCAGATTTTTCTGTTAAAAATTAGTGTGACTTAACTGGATAAAACAGTGGGTGAATTTTTTTCTCATCTATTTTTTATTTGATAAATGATCGATTGAAATATTTTTTTTCTTCTTTCTCCATATGATAATAACCATTATTGTATTGAAAGTGTCGAATGAGAAGCACATTGAAGCACGACCTTCTTCTATTTGTGTAAATGTATGTATGCAAACGATTTGACAAGTGTCTGCGCAATGACGTTGTACGATTGAATGCACATATACAATTTTACTTTCTTTTTTTCTCTTCTTCATTATTTTTATTCTTTAGAACAATCGAATTATCTTTAGATATAATTGTCATGTAATAATAATATACGTAATATTATATTTAATATTTATTTACATTGATTATACAATTTTATTGAGCATTTATTTATATCCATACATAGTATTATGGTCAGATGATCTTATAAATAAGGTAAACTATTTCTATATTTTTTGCTGGATAGACGTACATTAGCATGATGAATAAGAATACAAAATGATAAATGATTTATTCAAGGTTGATTAATATGCTATTATAATCTGTCAATCTAAAGGACATATGTTATTTGTAGAACTTCATAGTATTATACTTCATAACTTTATAAAAACAAGTTTAGTAAATTTAATTGTATATATACATACGTATATAATACTTTAAAGAGTAGTACGAGAAGCATTTTATGAATTATGTAAGATTATAATCAAAAGAAAAAAAACATAAAAGTATTACAAAGGAAGTAATGTCAAGAAAAATAATCCCTTCATACATTTCCTTTCGGTTATGTTAAAAGAAGAAGAAGTGACCTTGTTACATTTAGGTGATGAGTCTTTGAAGAAATATTTATCAGAAAATAAATCTATTAAACCGCAAATTTTCATCGATAAAAATGCAAGAAAAACATTTAGTAAGTCGTAAATTGATAATATACTGACGAAATATGTATACGTGCTTAAGTTACATAAGATTAACTATTTAAGATAATATTCTTGAAAAATAATATACATGTTAAGTATTTCTATTATTATTATTTAGAATGAAGATGAATTTCTATATTTCACTTATATTAAATATAATTGTGTTAATAATAAATTATCCAATGATAAATAGTTCAACATCATGTTCAATATTTCCATTATTAAATTGTTCATGTTTTCAATCAAATTTAGATTTAAATCATCCTTCACCAATAAAAATTTATTCACATTTACATTGTCAAGGAAATTCATTAAATAAAAAAACATTTCAACAACCATTTGGTTCAGATTTTAAAAATCAAAATCATTTTCGTACAATATCAATTGAATTTTTTCTTGAAAAAAAAATTGAAATTCAACCAAATCAATTTGATTCATTATCAATGCTATTTTCACAAACAGATGCTCATGCACAAATTGAAATATCTCTTCGATTTAATAATTTTACTCATATAAAATTTCATAAACAATCTATAACATCAAATATGTTCCAAAAAAAACATCAAAATAAACGTTTATGGTTACATTTTATTCCAAAAATACCAAAGTCTATTCAAGTAATTTATTTCGATTTTTTTTTAATAATTATTATTATGAAGATTTATTTTTAGATGAAATCTGATGAAGATAATTCAATAAATGTTGCTGATCAATTTAAATTTTCGGAAAATTGTTTTTCTGGTTTAACAGTATCTCAATTAAATATTTATATGCATGCAGTAAGAGATCATTTTTCATCATTATCATCATTTGAACATGTATTTAATAATACAAATATTGGTGAATTACATTTTCATGGTTCTATAATCCCACCTGGTCCATCACATTTAAGACAAACATTTAAAGGTCTTGTAAGATCATTAACACTTCATCGTCATGTTGATACAATTGATTCAAATACATTTCCATATTATTTTCCTGTTTATTCATATAATATACATTCTATTGAAGCACATTCAATGGATCTGAATTCATTTATACCACAATATAATAATTTACGTGGATTAGAATTAATTAAACCACGTTTTGAAGTATCAATTGATAAATTAATTCCAACATTAGATTCTGTATCATTAGATATTGAATCTTTAAATGAACGAACACTTTTAGGTGCACAACATATTCATAATTTAAAATTTGGTTCTAGTCTTCGTCGAATAAATTCTTATGGATTACATAAATTATCAAATCGTTTAAGACATTTAGATCTATCTGAAGTTAATTTATCTGAAATGACACCAGATTCTCGTTGTTATTTAATTGATTTTATTCATAAAAATTATCAACGTCAATTAAATTTAATTCTTCCTCGTATAGAAACATTAACTGAATGTGATTGTGCTCGACTTATTCTTCAAGATATTCAATTAAATAAAAAATTTCAAGAAAATCTTTCGAATGATAATTCTTGTTCGAAACAATGTCGTTTTAGTGATTGTTCAACAATAAGTGATTATTTTCGTGAAAAATCTCCATTATTTATTAATCCTAATCGTTTTAATAATATTCCAAGTGAAATAAATGATAATTTACCATCAGTTGATGTATTTTCTGATTCACGTGATATTGAAACGATGAATTTTCTTATTAATCAAACAAATAGAGATTCAGAGTAAATAAAAAAGAAAAATTATTCAAGAAAAATATATATTTCTTTTTGTTTTAGACAAACAGCACCTCTACCAACAATAACAATAACATCAAATACATCTTCAACAATTTTTCAAAATTCTGACGATGATTTTTTTACTCATTCAACTATATCTAAGCCAATCAATGAAAATATAAGTCACCCATCCAAATCTAAACTAAAAAATATTTTTTCTCGTATCTATTTTATTATTGGTGTTATTTTTATTTTCTTACTAATTATTTTTATCATTAGTATTGTATTTGCTATTTTAAGATATAGAAAACAAAAGCATTTAAAACCTAAACCTGTTTATGTTTAGAATAAAAGAAACTGTGTCTTTTTTTTTAATAAAATTTTCTATTGGCATATAAAGAAAAAAGAAATTACTTTTTTTTTGTTTTAACTAAATATAATCATACGCCCTAAAGGTGTTGTTATGTTTGAATATTAATAGCGTCATTTATGACTATTAAAAAACAATAAATGATTCCCGCCGGAATAGAAAAATATTTTGTTATTCTTGTAAAATTTTTTGTTGTGTTTATTAATATGAATTATCAAAATATTTTAATTAATAAAAATCCTTGATATCTATTTGAATAAGGTGTCCTTCTATTTTACCTTTTATCCTTATCAATACAATACAACAATGATAAGCCTATGAATAGAGTAAGTTTTATAGTCATATTTAGTTATCGATTGCTGTATTTTCATATATATATATATATTATTAGTCATGTATATTTAAAATATTTATTTATTATTCCTACTACATATTTGTATAGCTGATTAACTTTAGAAAAAAATGGTTATTATCGTGTTGTTCACGCATTCTGAAAAAGCTTCTCATCCTTTTTTTTCTGATGAGATTGGTACTAACATTGAGAAAAAAGACTATTTATCTTGTTTTTTTTCTCTCTGACTACATGACTATATAACGTGCTTTTTTCTTTTCTCCTTTTGACACATCAAAGAAGTAAAAGAACGAGCTGAAAAAAAACGAGGAAGAAACAGAGTGAAGCAGTAGAACGGCAGCATATGGCCAAAGAAAATCGTTAAAAACAACACTCGACCATTTGAAAACCGTTAATAATGAATATTGAAACAAAGAATCCACCTCCGTCAGTGGTAACAGCCGACGAATCTATTAGTTTAATACATGACAATACAATATTACCCATATCAACTATTCAGTACGACGAAAACGAAAAAAACAAGTCAGACATGTTAATAACACCTAAAGTACTAACTCAACATCGGCTTATGAGATGGTGTGCATTAATATTAGCACTTGGTACATTAGTTATTATATGGCGTTATATTTCAATATTAATTCTTGCTGTTTGGTTATCAACTATATGTAGACCACTTCTAGAATGGCTCGTCAATCATTTGTAAGATTTATAGTTTTCAAATAAATTTCCTTATTTTTTCTTCATATAATACTTAATGGGGATGATAAAATTTATATAATCGAGGCTTATCTCTAGTGGAATTTTTGTTTTTGAGTGCTATTAATCTAATGAAACTATGCCTTCGAAAGAAAAATGTTAGGATAAATTTGATTAATTGTAATATTAAAAAAAAAAAAACTTTTTTTTTCTCTAGGCCTTTAATGAATCGATGTCGAGAAAAACGTTCTCGATCAGCAATAGCTGCATTTTTACTTGTCTTTCTTGTTCTTGTTGTGATATTACCAATCATATTAATTTGTATTGCTTTAACGGGTTCAACCCTAAATTTTGTTGCAAGTCTGTCAAATTCTACAACAGCTCGAAATGCTATAAACCTCCTTGTACCTCCAACAGATCATAATCGAACCGGTGCATTATCAAATTCTACAAGTCAAAGTTTTATTGATTTTATAAAAGGTGAAAAAAATGCAACATTTAATTTATTTCAACGATTCTTAATTCAACGTGATTCCATAGCTGATGTTGTACAATTATTTGGTGGAAAAGCTTTATCAGTTTTATCAACTGTTGCTGGAGCTACAGCACAAGTAAAGAAATTAAAATAATTTAATAGAAAAGGAAATAATTTTATTTTTATTTTTATTTTTAGTTTATAATTGGTATATTAATATTTCTAGTATCAACATATACATTTTTATTACATGGACCTGAAATTTGGGCATGGACTATCGATCATAGTCCATTATCAGCTAAACATATGGAACGTCTTAAAAATGCTTTTCAAGAAACAGGTCGTGGTCTTTTAATTGGTGTTGGTTTAACTTGTGTCGTTCAAGGTCTTGTTGCTGCTGTTGCTTATTTATGTTTACAAATTCCTCGATGGTATGCACTTGGTGTTTTAACAGGTCTTTGTTCATTAATTCCAATTCTTGGTACAGCTATTGTTTGGATTCCAATAACAATTGGTCTTTTTATTCAACAAGCTCATATGAAAGCAGTTATTATGATTTTGGTTGGTGTTTTCGCTATTGGATCAGTTGATAATTTACTTCGACCAGTTTTTTCAAAACTAGGTTCATTACAAATGTCAACATTATTATTATTATTGACAATTTTTGGTGGATTAGAATTATTAGGAGCATGGGGTGCCCTACTAGGTCCATTAATTGTTCGTATGGCTACAGAAGCTCTTATTCTTATTAGAGAAGATGAAGACGAAGAAGAACATAATTTAATACCATAAAGAAATCTTTTGTTTTGCTCTTATTGTTTTGGTGTTTATTGTACCTTTTTTTTTTATTTTTAAAATGAACACATCTCCTTCTTTTTGGTATATAGATCAAACTTATCATTGATTCTCCAAAGTGAATAAATATATTTTTACAAAAAGGGAATGATCTTTTTTTTTCTTATTTAGATGTCTATCATAAATACTTTTTTCAAAAATTTATATTATGACGAATAATAACATAAGATAGAAACCATATAATCGCCTTTTTCGCATATTTATTAGTTAATTAAGCTGTTAGAAGTCTTCATTAAACAAATATTGACAATCGTAGTTTTTCGAATTGAGAATTTGCGCACAAATTTTTACGCATTTTATTCTATTGTTGAAATATGCATATTAATTGAAAATAAATTAAAAAAAATTTGTTTTTCGCTTTTTGTCTAGTTTAGATATTTTTTCTTATTTAGGTCATTGATCATTTACCGCGAATGACATAGTGAAGAAGTTCGATCAGTGCTTTAATTATTTTTAATTGAAACTCGAGAAGAAGAAACGAAATATTTTATTTTTATTTATTCAATTGAGAGTATGTGTTGTTTATAGATGTTATTTCCTTTTATATAAAAAAATTAATTTCCGTTTTTACTATTCAAATATAAATATATTCTATTAACTTTTTTCAATGACAATAAATTTTCATTTTTATTTATTTAATAATAAATAAATTACAAATATTAAAAAAAGAAAGAATTGTTTTAATGTGTAAAAGTTTGTTTATAAAATTTCTGTAAAGATTTTATACGTTGATCAATATCAGTTACATGAATATCATCATTAATAGAAAAATTACTTTGTTCGGGAGAATATAAAATTGTTGAATTATTCGATGCAGCTTTGTGTAAGACAAGTGGCCATGAAACACGTTCAATATCCTATTAAAATATAATCTATGTAATGCAATTATAATCATTTAAAATAATATACGGAATCAAATGAATCATTGAATTTATGTTGATCAATAGTTTCAGTTCGTTTTTGACTATATGACTTGTTATTATTATTACAATTGGGAGTAATATCTTTTGAAATAAAAAAAGAACGAATAAAATATATTTTATTACTAATTTAATTTCTACCACTAATATCTGAATCTGAATGATATCGACCAGTACTTAATCTTCGACGTGTTTCTTTTTTTCTGAAAAAAATAATCTTATTATTTTTAATAGAATAAATATATAACTACTTTTGCCATTCAGTTTGTCGTATTTTAAGATTTCTTTCATGAATATAAGCAGTTGGATTAAAACGACCATCAGAATCTGAACAAATTTCAAAAATAAAATAAAATAAAATAATCGAAAAACTAATATTACTATATGCTGATGGTAATCGTTTAGTGACACTTGCTGAACGGCATTGACGTTGATCATCTGATCGTAAACGAGATAATGATCTAATTTGTTGTTGAGAACCATATGGTGAACAACTAAAGTACAAAATTTTCTTTCCGATATTTACACAGAAATATTTACGTTTTCTTTAGTAAATCAATTTCATTTGTTAAAACTTTGACTTGTGATTTTAATTGTCTTTCCGATGTTTTTAATAAATCAATCTATAAAGATAAATTAAAAATATATTTTAATTTCAATTTTAATAGAAAATAAATTTTGATTAACTTGATCATTAAATATTTTATTACGATTATTTTTTTTTGTTTTCGTTTTTTGTAAATGAATTCGTTCTTTAATTAAAGTATCTTCATTTGTACGAATCATTTGACGTAAAAAATCAATTTGTTGATCTTTTTCTTTTTTTAAACGAAGACATCTATAACAAAAAAAATTTATTTAAATAATAGAATAAAAATTTATTTACTTTTCATGTTCATTAAAATTTTGACTATCTGATTCAAACTAAATTGAAAAATTTATTAAATTTAATGGTTCGATCAGGACAAATTTTTACTTGATTTTTTAATAATTGATTTTCGATTATTAATTGATGCATTTGTTCTATTAAACTATTTTGATCTGATTTATCACAATATCGAAGAGATAATGGATAATAAATACGATCATATTCAGCATTATAAATCAACATTAAATAACGTTTTGTTGAGGATTTTTTTTTATGATTTTCTTGTTTTTTACGTAATAAATCAAGATCATCACAAGTTAATAGATCAAGACTTACTGATGAACTTTTCTAATTTCAATAAATTATAATTTATACAAAGTCAAAAAGAAATTTTACTTGATTTATCGCATTTTCGAGCATATCAATAAATACATTAAATGATTTAAAATTGCCTGTTTTTGTTGTCATAGTTTCAATATCTAGTAGAAAACTAATCAGAAAAAGATCGATTCTTAACAAGTAAAATATTTACAATTAGCATCAAAACTTGATTTCCATTGTTCACCAGTTTCTCTAGCTTCAATTTTAATATCTATATGAATTTGTTCAGAAGTATTGTTAATACACATTGAAATTAAATATGAATGATTACGTATTAAAAACTCATTTATACATATTCGATTTAATGATGACGAAAGATTACTGAAATCTTTCATATCTAAAATAGATCTGATGTTTTAATAGTAAATAAAATTGTTGTTCAACCATATTGAAAATGAATAATGACGTCCTCTACTCATACAGTGTTGG